CAGCTAAACCCAGCTGACCATGCCACGCGAGCATTGCCCGCTGAGCATTGCCCGCTGAGCATTGCCCGCTGAGCATTGCCCGCTGAGCATTGCCCTACATGGCTCAGCGGACCTGCCTTCCTTACGGATTTAGGTCAACGACAAATACAGAAAGAACCTTTTGACCTTGTTTGCCCTGAAAACGACACCGAGCTGCACCCAGATATTGTTTCCTGTGCCACCTTTCTGTCAAAAAAAGAGCTTGGGACCACAAGGTTCGAGAGATTCTCAAATTGGAGTCGTCTGCTGAAAACTGTTGCCAGACTGCGGCATATCGCCAAATCCTGTAAAAGTGAACCAGAGGGCGCATGTCGTGGATGGCATAAGTGTACCAACTACGCTACAGAAGAACAGCTTCAGCAGGCTAAGGTCACTATCATTTGTGCAGTACAAAAAGAGGTGTATGTGGATGAAATCAAGCGCTTGGAGTGGAGTGAGTCCATTCGCACACAAAGTCCACATAGTAAGCTGAGTCCGTACATAGACGCTGATGCAGTTCTTAGGGTTGGCGGCCGGCTGACAAGAGCTCAACTGTCAACAGATGAAACACACCCCATGCTCATTCCCAGTAAACACCACATAACTCAGCTCATAATCAGACACTTTCATGCACAAGTATGTCATCAGGGCAGACACTTCACCGAAGGCGCAATCAGAGCTGCAGGTTTTTGGATTGTGGGTGGGAAAAGAGCCGTCAGTGGTGTTATTTTCGACTGTGTCATATGCCGCAGATTAAGAGGCAAGCAACAAGAACAGATCATGTCAGATCTACCAGAAGACAGAATGTGTACAGACCCTCCTTTCACGTGTGTGGGCCTAGATGTTTTTGGTCCGTGGCCTGTTACAGTCAGAAAGACACGAGGAGGGCAAGCAGAGGCCAAGAGATGGGCAGTGATCTTTACGTGTATGAGCACTCGTGCCATACATATTGAAGTGGTAGAAGCAATGGACACTTCATCTTTCATTAATGCTCTGCGCCGTTTCTTTGCCATTCGAGGGGTTGTTAAACTACTCAGATCCGATTGCGGCACAAACTTTGTGGGTGCTTGCAGAGAACTCCAAATCGGCAAGAAAGGCTGTCATAATGACAAAATCAATACGTCTTGGAGACAAGCTGTGAGTGGCAATTCAACCCTCCACATGCGTCGCACATGGCTGGATCTTGGGAGCGCATGATTGGCGTCAGTCGGCGGATCCTCGACGTAATGCTGCTGCAGCACGGAAACGCAAAGCTTACACATGAGGTGTTAGTGACATTCATGGCTGAGGTCACTGCAATAGTCAACTCAAGGCCGCTTACCACAGTCTCTGTTGACTCAGAGCATCCTGAGATTCTCACTCCTGCCATGCTACTCACACAAAAGGTCGGTGCCCCTTCAGTACCACCAGGCCAGTTCCACGACCAGGACCTGTTTAGAGCGCAATGGAGACGGGTACAGTACCTGGCTAACGTCTTCTGGGGACGATGGAGGAGAGAGTACCTCAGCGGACTACAGAGTCGTCGCAAGTGGAGGACACCAAAGCTCAACCTACAAATTGGAGATGTGGTCCTGCTCAAAGAGGGACAAGAAAACAGGATTGACTGGCCGCTAGGGCTAGTCATAAAGACCTTCCCCAGTCAAGATGGCAGAGTAAGGAAGATCGAAGTCAAGATCATCCGCAGTGGCGAATGTAGAGTGTACCTGAGACCCATCAGCTAAGAGCTAAGTCTGAAAGACTCTTGATATCGTTTGTAATAGCGGGAGTCAGTTTTAGTTGGTGTGACGTCTGCAGACGTCAGGCGGGGAGTATTCTGTCCCTCGGGTTATTTCGGAGGTATGTTTCTTTTTTATAAGTTTGTTATAGGACGGGTCATAATCATTCGTTCTGTAATTAATTGTAGCAACGGGTCAGTAAATATGTTTATTCCGGATCATCTCTGGGAAAAGCTTGCCATCTAGTGGTTTAACTAGGAAGCGTCGTGTAAGAGCTCAAGCAGGGGGTTTCCTCCCAGCGCGCGACAGGGAAGGTCCATTTCTCCGTGTCTCTGTGGATTCCTGCATCTGTTGCTCTTAAAAAGGCATAATCTGTAAGTGTGGCAAAAACGATTGATTGTTCTCACTTATTAGTAGCTTGTTCAGTAAAGTAATGAGTTTCTCGTGTGTTTAGTGAGTTCTGTTACATTACTAGCATAAGCTAGCTGTTGGTGCTATATTTAGCTTGCTAGCATGAAACATATCAGCACGCGGTGTTAGCTGCGTTTCTTGACATGCTAGGCGGGTGTTATTGTCGATGCTGAGATTGGGTAGTGACTGTTTACATAAGACAACAATATTGAATGTAATCTTAGTGTATTTGTATGGAAAGGGGATACACTGTATTCTGTTTCTGTTATTACAGTTTTACAAAAAGAAAAAAGGATCAGTAAAGCTCTGAAGAATACGACACAGTCTCCCGAGTGTTCACTGAAGCCATTTAATGTTTAGCTCTCTGCATAAGCCGGATAGAGAAATTCAGATGAGGGCAGAAGAGTGGTACTTGGAGAGCCAAATATTTTCTGAGCTGGTACTTATTGCAAAAAGTCTGAGAACCCCTGATTTAGGGCCATAGTCCTACTGTACTTTCCCTGATGAAATACATTCTGCACATGGCAGATGACCAAGATTTGACGGTGATGTCTGAACCTTGTGAAAGTTTCAGTTAGGAGTTTGTTGTCTGATGCACAGTCCATCAAATCATCAAAAATTATCAAAGAGCCTGGGGGGAAATGCCCTTAATCTTCCCAGCTGTTAGGAAGTCCTTCTATAAATTTAGTTTCGACTGTCTGTTTGCGCAATTTGACATAAAGAGGCTGGTAGGAAGCATACAACCATGCAGTTTTCTTAACAGGTGCGCCAGTGAAACAGTGACTGGGAAATAGGTTTTCCCTGAAGAACTTGACCCCGCAATTATCGCCATAAATGCCATTTCTAAACGGTGATCAAAGTCAACCTCTGTCATACTGTTACCCCTCAGTGGCGGCTCAAAAAAGACGATGAAACGGTAGAGACCTCCTAAACTTTTAAATCTCCCCATGTCGCTCAGGGATTTAAAAAAAAAAGAAAACAGATACGATGATCCTAGACTCATTAGATAAAAAATGTTTTAATTATTTTTTTTTTATTCAGTATATTAAAATGAATTGTATGTTTCATTTTTTGAAAATCACAGTCGCACTGCATACATATAACAAATCATTTGTACAACTCACTTGTANTATTCAGTATATTAAAATGAATTGTATGTTTCATTTTTTGAAAATCACAGTCGCACTGCATACATATAACAAATCATTTGTACAACTCACTTGTACAGTCTGACTCATTTAAGTGGGAATTCCGTTCCATCAACGTGTCTTAAGTGAATCCCTGCTGAGCTACCATGGTAACTTAGGCAAGTGAACAAATCTGCTCTGGACCAGGTTACAGTTTTTTCCAATTGCTAACATACTAAAATGACATGCATAGCACAATTATTTAAACTGACACACAGAGAGCAAAACCTCTTCTCAAGTCTCCAAAACTCTAAACACATTTNCTAACATACTAAAATGACATGCATAGCACAATTATTTAAACTGACACACAGAGAGCAAAACCTCTTCTCAAGTCTCCAAAACTCTAAACACATTTACATTGTAGTATGGGGCAACGTGAGCTTTTATCATGCAGCCCCAGTCCAAAATTGGTTTGCTGACCACCCACCGTTTCTCGTGCAACACCTCCCACCATACTCACCATTTCTGAACCCCATAGAAGAGTTCTTTTCGGCATATTTTGTGAGCATATTTTTGTTCGCTCCAATGTAAATATATCTGCTGTGCATATGATAAACTGACTTGTTTGGTGAAAAATAAAAAAATAAATGCATGTGTGTGTATCTGCAAATATTTCTGTGCATGTGAACAATCTGAAGAATTTTCTACAATTTGAACTATTTTAGTATTGTGGCAAAGCATAATAAAGATGAATGCTTTTCATTATACCCAAGTGTGTAGTTGGTTAGACAAAAATCTGGTAATATGAATGACGTGCGTGCCATTTCGTGCCAAAGTTTGATTTTGATAATTCTATATGCAATTTTGGTTGCAGTGCTTCATTTTGCAGGATATATGAGGTATTTTGCAGTTTGGGTGTCTGGTTTTGTGAATTGTGTTAAGTATTTTGATAAAACCAGCCTAGTTTGCAAAATTGTGTTTTAGCAATTGGGAAAAAACTAACTGTTTCTGTCATTACCAGAAATGTTACACCTACTGAAAATGTAACTTCCGGTACTACACATGCGCATGCTTGCAACATCTGCGAGGAGGCATGCTATTTTAACGGCATCGCATTACATTTCATCATCTGTTGATTTTTGATGAGAACGTCGACAGCAAGAGGAAAGAGGAGATTTAACCGGATAATGATGAAGACCTTCGACTTTTACTCCACTTTAAATGGTTTTATTTCGCGCTTAATGCCCAATGTGCCTCAGAAAGAGTGACATAAAATACGCCGTATGGCCATCAATTTTACAGTCAAAGGTGAAATTACTTTAATGTTTTTCTCAATGTGCTAAATGAAATTACCATTATGTATTACATCCAGTTCGATGTGCTGTGAAGTTACTTAAACTAAGCCTGCTTTTTTTCTTCTTAGTCATTACTTTTCTTAATTGTATCAGTGTAATTACCACACACTTGTGTCAGTTATGGCAGATTTGTCTTGTGGTGCCAAAGGAAGTGGATTATATTTGTTTCTGACAGACTACCAATTGTTTTATCTTGGGCCAAACCGCACATCCATGAATGAGGATGAAAAGCGGTCTATCCTCATGGAGTACCACAATAACCCTGGAACTGGAAATCAACACGGTGTCCGAGGGACAGGGTTATTGCTGGATACTTCTGGCCAAAATTAGATATGGATGTGGCTGACTGGGTAAGTTGTTATACGTTTCATAATGATAGGCAACATAATCTATTAAGTCCTTGATGATTAATAAAATTGTGTAATTTCCACAATTATTGGTAACCCTTTACTTGACGTGGAACAAATACTTAATAATAATAATAATAATACATTTTATTTTAAAGGCACCTTTCAGAGCACACAAGGGCACTGTACACAATTATACAACGAAGAACAATCAGAATTAAAAAAAAAAAAGTATAAAAAGCTAAAAGAATTCACAGAGCGTAGGCACATTTAAACAGATGTGTTTTGAGTTTGGATTTAAAAAGTGAAAAGGAATTTATGTTTCTAATGTCATTTGGTAAGGAGTTCCATAGTTGGGGAGCAGAGCAACAGAATGCCCTGCTCCCCATAGTGACAAGGCAGGCAGAAGGGACGATGAGATGAATAGAGGAGGAAGACCTGAGGGAATGAGAGGGAGTAGCAATGTGAATAAGATCAGACAGGTATGGAGGAGCGAGGTTGTGGATGGCCTTAAATGAATAGAGGAGGATTTTGAAATTAATGCGTAAATGTACTGGGAGCCAGTGCAGCTGCTGCAGGACAGGGGTTATATGATGTATAGAAGGGGTTTTAGTAATAATACGAGCAGCAGAATTTTGAAGTAATTGAAGCGTTATAAAGTAATAAAACAACTCCCAATAAAACTGAATAAAACTAGGTAAAAAAAAAGGTGGAAATGCTGGCGTGTTTGACTGCCGCTGCTCTCCGGTGTATGTTTTGAAGCTCTGCGGCTTGTTTGTTTTTCGAGTTTTATTCAGTTTTATTTGTTTTACCTAGTTTTATTCAGTTTTATTGGGAGTTGTTTTATTACTTTATAACGCTTTACAAACTTACCTGGATAACACCTTTTGTAAAGCTGTACCTGC